CTGTGGACGGAGCTGGCCGGGTGCGGAATTCGTATCGACCAGCTATTGCTGGGATTTGAACCCGGTTCATAGGAAGGCAAACTCTCTGTCCCCTGAGCCACAACGGCACGCCATGAACAATTTATCAAGGGAAAGTTTTCGTGAGCGCAATTCGTCACGGTGTCAAATCTTCGAAAGTACAATTCATTCTGGGCACAATTCATCGCTGGCAAAACTCCTCGCAGCGGTAATTTATAATGGTCACAATTCGTCAGGAGCATAGTTCGTAGCAGGCACAACTCGTTGCAGCGATAATTCGTCGTGGGCAGAATTTCTTGCGTTTTGATATTTAAATTTGAAGGCATAACTCTTGCATTGTCTCAAAAAGGTAACTAAATGTTTAATTAGTGACTGTTCAAATATTACGAAAGCACAGAAGTTATGAGGGTTTCGTGATTTGCCTATTGTTACTTACAAGGTGGCGAAGGTTTATGAGCAGTGTTTGCGTAAGACTCTAAAACCACCTTATTTGAATTTCTTTCCCCAAATAATTATTGCGTCTAGTCATTTGCTCCCAGCATAATAATATCTTGAAAAGATGTGCTATGTGCAAATTTAAAAAAATTAACAACCTTGAATAACTTTTGATCTAATGATTGGTTCTTCACGTTCTAGGTCTCAATCTTAACGGTTCAAGAAGGTGATCTCAAGTATGCAAATTAATAAGTGCAGACGATATTTTAAGCTACGAAATCAGATACAAAAACATACGTTCTAAGCGGACTATGTTTTATTAGATATTGTATAATTTGTCTGGATGAAAATGTTTTTTTTTTTAATGATTCAGATTTTTTTTTTAAGAAACCTGATATTTTTTTCAGTTGTCCGATCTATTTGCAATTGAATGAAGATCTCTTCCTTTAGGATGCTTTCAATGTAGGATCTTTGATATATAGGAGGGAGTTTATTGAGTTGCTGAATGTTTCTATCTGTTTAGCCATTTGATCTGCAAGCTCATTCCCGTCGAAACCTGCGCGGGTTTTAATCTACTTTCTTATTACTGGTGACATTTCTTTATTATTAATGAGCCATTGGTTGACTATTATAATTTCGTTTTTTGTGTAATAATCATTTAATGTCTGTAGTCTGGATCAAGTTTCAGTTCAGATTGTTATGCTGGTTTCTAGTTGGTCTCTTTAATTACCAGGGCCTCCACTTGGCAGATCTTACAGTCTTTGTTCAGCTTGAATCCAATTTCATTTTTAACTTCATCCTTGCTCCCTCTCCACCATCTTGTTTGGAACCATCTGTGTAAATATTTCAAGATGTTCTATTATTCCCTGTTACTCCGTCTGATTCTGTTAGTATTTTGAAGTAGGCTGAGTGTATAGTGTTATGAACAATTTGCGGTTCTATATTTTGTGCATAACTGGTTTTATCTTCTAGTTCCTAAGGAAATTTATCATCTGTGCATCGTTGTAGATGATTATGTCCAGTGGAGATATTACTCGAAGGACTCAGAGAGCTGTGACTGATGCTGTCCGATATGGTATCTTTTGTGGACAGCTAACGATTAGTTAGCTTTTGTGGACAATGAAAGAGTTTTTTCTTCATAAATAGAAGTATTTCATCGAAACCACTGGAAATTATGCTCACCAAGAATAGTACTCGCAACAAGTTGGGACCACAACGAATTGCCGCTGATACAAATTGGACTTAACCGAATTGTCATCAAGACGAAGTGTGCTTGCAACGAATTGTTCCCTCAATGAATTATCTCCCCGACGAATTGTCGCGACACTGGTAAAATGGACTGATAACTTAGTTGCCTAAGAATGAGAAGAAAAAAAGGTTGAAAACAAAATTCGATTTCCTTTCTCAAATTAAAATAGTGTTCTTAGAAATTTAATAACCACCTGTAAAACGTGCCGGAATAACAGCATTAACGTTATTTATTGAACTAAAATAGTTTAATATAAATTCGGAGTTAATAATTTTCGAACATTTAGGGGCGATTATTATATAACAACAACAAAGAAAAGTGTGTATCAAATGTATATATCAAAATCGACAATTAATTAAATAACAGAATTCATAACACTTATTTCAGAAAACACCGAAACATATGTTAGGAATAAGTAACCGTACTACGAATTGAGTAAATTGCGTTCGTTACTGGAAACGATTAGGGGTGAAACCCATCAAATTCTTTTCGGCAAACATATAATCTTTTTTTATACGTATATTTTATATGACCCGGAATCGAACCTAGGCAAAAATGGAATCAGAACAAGAAATGAGGAACACAATCCTCTGGCTGAAATTTTACACTTTTTTGCTCCTCATTAGCTCAAAATTAAACAATTAAAGAAAGAAGGAATTAAACTTATCTTTTATTAGAGTGTAAGAAACTAGTGGTTCATGTTTCAGACATTTTTTATTAACCTTAAATATTTTAAAATTGCATCACGAAATATTGTTTCTTAAATATTATCCTTTACTATAAATCGTCGCGTAACTTAATGCGACCAGGAAAGTTTTAAATAAAAGAAAAGAGATTTGCTTTTTCTATAATATCGGGATTGTTTTTAACTAATTGTATCAAAGATACTTGTGTGAGCAGTGAAAATATTTAAATTCTGATTAAAAACGTTATTGTTTACAGAGATAAGAGAAGGACTATGGTAGACATTCGACTAATTACCATTCCAAAAACTGATTAATTCCCTTTTCATTCATTTACGAACGCGACTTAATCTTGGAATTCCATGTCTATCGCAATTTTCAAATACCCAATGAGGATCATTCCGTTGAAAGTTTGAACTCTTTACAGAAAAGTGTTTGAAAAAAAAGTAAGGCGTCAGTGACGTCAGTTCATGGTTTGTTAATTCTTACGCAAAGAGAAATAAGAAAAAATTGTTCGAGACAATGACGCAAGAGACCTTATTTCCGAAAGAAAAAGCTAATATCGAGACTTTCATAAGACTGAAAGCATTGGGGCCATAAAACAGTCGCCATTTGTCACCGTTGGTGGTTGTGCCCTACGCCATTTTTTTCTTATCCTCGTTCTCAGGTGACTGTGCGGTATAATCATCACATCCTCATTACTTATCCTCTTTCTTTGATTTATTTATTTATTTATCAGACGTATTTTGAGTAACATTTGCCTTACAAAGGAAAGGTTAAGGAAAAAAGTGTTTTTTTTATTTAGGAAATATTCAATACTTTCTATAGAGTTTTTATGATAATGAATTAAAGTTGATTTTACTTATACTCAAGAAAAGATCCAATATAAACTTAATAATTGGTGATGCTAATTAAAAAAAATAGAATTGTTCTTAATGACTCTTGGTCTAAAAATTAGGTTTTCTTATACTAAGTTGCTCAGATTTCGAAAGACATAATTTTGATATACTAATTAATTACTGAGTATTACAAAAAGAATATGAAAACAGATACCATCTCCAAAAGAATATGAAAACAGATACGCTACACAAAAATGGGTATATTTTACCCGCTATTAAACTGACAGGGACATTGCATAAGGGTTGATTCTGAGCATCTAAAAAAGTGCAATCCAATATAACCTCCAGCTTTTAGATAGGGGAATCCAACCTCGGATCAAGTCGCGGTAGGTGAATATCCAACTTTGCTACTTCAACTGGGTGGTAAAGCTACGTTAGCAGAAACTGATTTTTATTGACTGTGATAGCAGAATCTGTAATGCCTGTATTGTAACCTTCATGTTGTTTTTATATGAATAATTAGACAGAGCGGTAAACTTCCTATGGGAATGGAATATTGTTTTAAAAATTTCAGTGATGGGAATTCTGGCAATAGTGCTTGACTGTGAGAAAAACTTCAGTGTAGAAAATTCTGGGCAATAGTCCTTAACTTTAAAAAAACACATCAGTATAAGGAATACCAAATAGGATGATTAATGAGCCTTTTTTAAAAGTCTTTTCTTTTAACTGTTTAAAAAAGGAAGTTGTAAATATTAATGATCGCTGGTTATTATGAATGATAATCAGTGGGGATACGAGTTTCGGTGACACGTTTTTCTTATGCTGTTGATTTTTAAGGTTATTGCCTATTGTCCGGTAGTGTCTACACTTATACTTTTATCCTAAATGTGAAATTCATACAGGTTGGAAAAAAATATTTCTATTTATTACGTATCAGTATAAGGAATACCGGGCATGATGATTAATGAGCCTTTTTTATCACATTTAAAAAAGGGCGTTGTAAATATTAATAATGACTGGTTATTATTAATAAATAATCCATGGAGATATGAGATTGGTTGCCTGGTTTTTCATGCTGTTGTTTTTCAATGTTAATGCCTATTGCCCGGTATTGCCTACGTTTACACTTTTATTCTGAATGTGAAATTCGTACAGGTTGAAAAAAATACTTCTGCTTTTTTGAAAAAATAAAGGTCTATTTTAATATAGAAAAGAATGTGATGCAATGCGATGATTAGAGAATGTGATTCAATGTTTTCGATAGAATTCTGTTATTAGAAAAGACTCCGAATTCTTAAATGGAAAAATTCTATCTGCTATACCTGTGTCGGGGAAAAAAGTGCAGATATGCATTCCCTACCTGCAAACGAAGTGGAGTCATTCACTTCCACAGGCAGGATACTTGGAAGTGAAAGTCTAGTGTCAAATATACCACTCAATTTAGTTACTCATATTTTTACACATACAACTCCCCATAATATTAATTTCAAAAATCCAATAATATGAATATTTTTCTGAACATAAACGCCATTCATGCGAGATTCATTTTGAATCTTTACATTAGAATGCATCTATAGAATGCATCTTTTTTTCTTAAAGAATTTGAATAACAAACTGTTTTTTTCGAGTTTAACCGTTTCCTAATGGGTTTTCATTCTGCTTTTTTCACACGCGTACGGAAACAACTGAAATCACGTGATGAAGTCCATTTGTGAATGCATTTTTTTGTTTTTCTTTCATGTGATAAACACATAAAATGAATGTGTATTTTTGCAGGTCTCGTCAAGCTGGGCGTTCACTGCATCACAGGCAGGAAAGTTGCCATCAAAATAATCAACAGGGAAAAACTAAGTGAATCTGTTTTACAAAAGGTGAGAGTGTTTACTTACCTATTTTTTTTTTAATTATTTATCATTGTCTTTTAAACCTATGATTTATTTACTCTAAAATAAAAAATTCCATTATCTTCATAGTTAGAATAGATTAAAGGTCCGCATTTTTCGAAGGCCAGTTCACGACGCTCATGTTCAGTAAGACAACAAGCAATGAAAGGGGAAACTAATCAAAAACAAGATAATGCTAAGTTATCGACCAAAAAAGGGAGAAGGAAACTGATGGGGGAAGCTAAAGAAACCGCGGTAGCTAGAGGAAGGGTTGTGGCCGAAAGCGGTAAATCAAAGCAAAAGATAATTCTATGCGTAATGCTCAACTCAACTCAGTGGTACGGCAGCCCATAGAGGGTCAAGGCCTACTGTGCTCATCTCAGTTTTCTTGACCTTTGGGCTCTGAGGTGCAAGAGCAAATGTTCTTGTAGAGTGGTCAGCCCAACGCAGAACCTCCAGTGTTCGACTCACAAGTATGCTTGGTACTGGTTCCATGCGTAATGCATGAGGGAGTTCTGGAACAGTGTTTCCCAAAGTGTGGCACACGTACCCCCAGGGGTACGGAAACTGTTTAGCGAGGGTACGCATTCTTATGCGAAATATCTTGCAACAAACGAAAATTTCAAAAAATTTTATTTAAAAACAAAGCTAGCCATGAAAATTTACGATTACGTATTTTTCGATTGGCAATTTTTTGCAGAGTTAACAGTTAATAATTAGTAGTGTCAACAGTCAGTTGTGGTTTTTAACTTTTGTGAAATTTCTTTACAGTAAAAAATTCATCTATTTTTTATTAAAGGTACTTAGCGTTACGAAAAATTTAGAAAGACTACGCAAAAGTCATAAGTTTGGGAAGCATTGTTCTAGAGAATTGACATTGATGTGAAAGAAGCAATATTCAAAAGCATCGAAATAAACAGAGCTTTACTAAAATAAATATAAGTCAACAGGCCCTAACAATGTATTGATGATTTATCAAACTCTTTGTCATGGACATCTGTGTTATGTCCTTTTAATCTAAATTTCAGAGCACCCCTGAAGTTGCATAAGCAAGGAATGCCATCCATTCCCAGCTGGGCCATACCGTCTTCCCATCGGTTTCCCTTGATTCTCCTTCCCTGTTAATGCCTGTTCTGTGCTCCTTCCCTGTTTCTGTTCTCAACATTTAACCGCAGTATTGTCCAAATGAGGAAAACCGTGATCGCACACGCGAAATACAGTCAACTTTTCTTTTTTTCAGCTATAGAAGCTACAAAAATTTCCTAATTTCAAGCATATTTCTTGTTTTACTTTTGTTTCAAATTATTCATTTCTATGACTCAGATGTAATTTTTATTTTTCCAAACCATTTTTATAAATATAGTAATCTACAAAACTATGAACTCATAAAAACATTCTTTGATTATTTTTAGACGCAAAAATTTTAGAAAAAAGAATGCTTTTTGGGAAAATATGCAATTTTAAAACATTGAAAGATTTAGTCAGTAGGGACACTTTCGTAATTTTAAATCTCTGAGCATGGCAAGCTCTTTTATATGTATGGAAATTATTTTATATATCCAGAATTTTTTTTCGTGAAATTCCATTAACTCAAGACCATTTTAAAAAAACTGTTTACGAAGTCTTGAAATATAATTAGATTAAGACCCATTTAAAAGAAATAGTTACTATATTTTCAAAAATGATAATTTTAAGACTTGTTAAAAAAATTATTGTCATATTTTGAATAATGATTAGCTTAAGGCCAAATTAAAAACGGAAGTTTATGTTTTGAAAAATAGATTAAAACCATATTTTAAAAACTTATTAAATTATGATTAATTTTTTAAACAAACACTGAGTACTGCAGAAATATGGATAGAGAAGTTCCCAAATCTTAGCAAACTCACAAACAGTTTGTTACTTATCGGTTGATAAATAAAACAATTTTTTTGTTGCTTACAGGTTGAAAGGGAAATAGCCATAATGAAACTCATAGAACATCCTCATGTCCTTGGCTTGTACGACGTTTATGAAAACAAAAAATATTTGTAAGTATCTGACTTTTTTTCGACATTGGCTTAATAGATATGATTTGCAAACAATAAAGAATTAAAATGATGTTTGTTAATTGCATAACCAATAAATTTTATGCATTTTTGCGAAATAATTTTTCTAATGATAATCCAAAGTTATGTATTATTATATAATTTTTAGATTAATAAAAATGCTTAAAAACAGCTTTGTAATATTACAAACACTTACAGTATAAAAAAATCTGATCATTCATAAAGATTGTCCCAAAATACATTCAAAAAGTACTTTTGTTAAAAAAAATAATTTTTCATTTAAAAAATTTAGAAAGTTTCACTAATTTACAAATTATTTAGCGCACAGTTAGTCAAAATGGAAGTGCACAGTCGAAAAATATTCTTGTTTATTCGTAAGATTTTTTTTTTCTTTAAAAAATTTAGGGTGTCCTTCCAGAATATATATATATATATATATATATATATATATATATATNTGATTCTAATAATATCTTATTTGCGTTTTAAAGGTTTGTTTGATCACAGGAAGATTTAGCAAGAATAATTTTTGTGGTAGGAGAATGAGCAGTACAGTAGAATGAACCCTATACAATTGAGACTGGGTGGCAATACAAGCAGCATTGAAAAAAATACATGTATTCGGGCATCTGGCAACTATTTTAAGCATCTTTTTAAGTATTTTTTAATCTTGATCGTATACCAAGTTTTTAAATACAATATAAATAAAATAATTTAGAATCATTTTTGTTTAATTTCGTTACATATATATATATATATATTAGAAACTAATTAAATTAGAAATTAAAAAACGTGAATAGAAATGATGGATTAATCATGTTCTAAACAAGACTGAAAAATTTAAAGTCTTACAAAGTTTGCTTGGAACTGTCCTGGCAAAAGAAAAAGAGGAAGACCTAAAAATGCTTGATGTTTGACCAAAGGTTTTGCCTTCCAATGAGGTGACCAGGGTTCAAATCCCACCCATGTCTGGTCGATACGAATTCTACACACGGATCACACCGATCACAGTACTGACGTAAAATATCCTCTGCAATAGATGGATCATGGGTTAAAGTCCCTTTGCCGTCAAGCAAATCGTGGGAGGTTTACTGGGTTTCTCTCGCTATGTGACGCTAATGTGGGTTAGTTCCATCAAAAAGTCCTCCACGAAGGTAAATTTCTCCCAATTCTAGATCCAGGAGATCCCTTGTCTTCTGGATTGGGTTCTAAATAACAAGGTCGTATACCCGTAGGTCGTATAAATAGTAGTAGTCGTATACCCGAAAATAGGGTCGGCAGTTCAACGACGGTTATAAAATAAAATAAAATGATCCTCCGTATCAACAATCCATCTAAAGTAATTTAATTCTGTTTTCTTTTTCTTTCGTGTTTTAGACTGTGTTTTTATCCCAAAATAACATATTTTATTAAAATTTTGAGCATTCTCTGTTTCGTAATTTTTGCGTGTTCACTTTATAATTTTTTCAAAACAAAATCTAATCTATGGAAACGAACCAATGAAAATACGTAGGGACTAGTCTTGCCTTTCAGCTTAGTTTCTTCTGGACCAGTGTCAAAAATTTTGTAATTTCTACACTCTAACTGATTGTCAAAAATTTCTAAATTCTAATCCATAGAGACACTGTGATTTGTAGGAAAATTTTCGCTCTTGCTCTGTAAAGCTCAAATAACGTGATCATTGTAGTTAAAAAGAAAGGAAACACTCTGCAAAATTTCTCTATTATCTCTTACATCTCCTACATCATTTGCTTGAAGAAAAAAAACATCTATTTAATATTACTTGTTGCTTCCCCTCCCATGTCTAATTTTGATCAAAAAAGTAATTCCATAATTATCTATGCATTTACTTCCTTTATGTGGCACCGAAAATGCCGAAATTTCTCTATCTAAATTAGTTATACGTTTAAGTATTTGCTGAGATTAATTTTGTTAGGTTATCTTAAGTGATAGTTTGAGCGCTATTGAATAGTTACTTACATGTTAAGAATTTTTTAAAAATAATTTTGTATTTTTATAGAAATTAAAACTTAGTTACTAAAGTTGCAGGGTCTGTTATTGAAATTCCACTTTGGATCTGTGACTGTAACGTGTAATTTTTGACGCGCATAATATTAGTCAGATTTCTATGGAGATCAACAAAGGCCAAACTTTTGAAAAGATAATTCTGAATTTGACAATACCAATATTTTGCCATAGCCAGTTTAATGTTAGATTTCCCAGAGTAAGGTCTTTTGAGTCAGTAGCCACCGAGTTACCCACTTTAGAAAGAAAAAATTGTGTCTATAAAATGATCAGTGGAACATATGGCAGTATATTTAGTAGTGCTAATTTCACAGATATTTTTGTTCTCATATTAGAATATTTAAGTTCAGTTGTGCAGTGGATTCAGCTTGTTTACCATAAAAGTTTATATGTTGTGCAAGATAATTTTGAAAGGTGAACGAAGTGATCACCAAACGCGGTAGTCATACCATAAATTTTCTTTCAACTGATTAAATAATTTTATTGATCGTGGTTACAGTTAAGACAGGACCAGTGTGTGAAATGACAAGATTCAATTTTCTCTACCTACCCCTCTCCCTCATCAGTTTCTCTTATTACATGAAAAGAGAAGCCCAATCAATTCTTAAGGGTCTTCTAGATCACACAAAAATTATTTCCTCAAGAAAATTAGAATGTAAAGGCGAAAGCGATGATGGAAGTTCGCCAAAAGTGCCCTCTGGTTTGTTCTCTTAACTTTTCTGTTTCGAAGGGACGTTTGCTGCATAAATTAATATTCTTTATAAAGAGATTCGGTTAATAAAACAAAGTGATAATTTGTTATGAAAAGATAATATTTTAAAAGTATTTTCTACTAATGTTTCTAATTGAAATTCTTATTACATTTTCTTAAAAGTAACTTTTAATGTTTACTCAATTTACAAAATATTATTCTAAAATAATGCATTACTCCAAAAGTGCTTTAATATTTTTTTGTTCAATAATAAAAGTTCTGGAAGATAAAATTACTAGACTATTCCTAAAACTTGATTTTCTCCATGATTCGAGAAATTAGAAAACGCTCAATATTTTCTCTCTTCCTTATTTCCAAAAGAACTACGTTATGAAACAGATATTAAAATTTCTTTGGTTATTAAGGTAAGTTTTAGAAAAAAGTCGAAGATATTTAAAAATAATTCCATATGAAAATCAAAACCTTTTATGCGATTCTTTTTCTTCAATTTTCTGGATATATTATGTTAATTCAACAAAAATTGATTCGAATCAACAAATCAATTATGCATAGATTTAGTACGACTGCTCTAAAAGTGTTTTAATATTTTTTTTGCACTAATAGCAAGAAATTTTAAGTTTTAAATTATAAGACAATTCTTAGAATTTTGACTTTCTGGGGTATTTGTGGTTATGATTGACCTGATTTTGATTGATCGTGATTGCAAATAGTTATAATCAACGCTTAAAACTGAAATCATTATTTACAAATAATCAATTACTTTTGGCCGTGATTGCAAAGAACCATAATTTACGATTGCAATTCTAAGTTAGATTATAAACAACTGCATTTATGATTAGAAATACAACCATAATTAGAATCGCAATTATCACAGGTTTAAGTACAAACACCACATAAAAGGGTTTCTTAAAATTGAGCAAAAATGCGTCAAAACAACTTCGAAGCAATGGATAGAAGGGTTTGAAAGCTTTGTGTATTCAAAAATGAAACAGCATATATTCATTTTTTAGAAGAAGCGCTTGTGCATGGAGAAATGAACGAGAGAGATGAATGAGCCGCAGGCAGGATACGGACCAAAGATCCCAGGATTCGTAGTAAAACGATCTAACCGCCGTAGTTGTACACTTCAGTCCAGGGTGAGTTGGGAAGTTTTATTTAATGTTCGTCGCAATGATACATCATAGCATACCAATTTCCAATGTCAGTGGCACAAAGGGTTGCAATTTAAAAAATATGAGAAAAATTAAAATCGCTATATCTTAAAATCTTCAAAGTGAATGGAATTTAGTCTAGGATGTGTCATTGTGGTTGTCACTATATAAAACTTCCTAACTCTCCCTGGATCGGGGTATACAGCAATGGTGATTAGGGCATTCTACTACGAACTACTGGATAGGGTATTGGGAGAAATTTGTCTTCGTGGAGAATTTTTTATGGAACTAATTTGCATTTGCGTTACATGGAGTGTAAACTACGAATACCTACTACATGACGACAAGGGGACTCCACATCAGCACTGTGGTCGGTGCGAGCCGGAGGCTGAATTTTTATTGACCAGCCATCTCAGGGATTCGAACCGGGTTCACCTCGTTGGAAGGCGAACGCTCTATCCCTTGAGCCACCATGACTCTATATGTATATATATTCTGTTATATGTTGACAGCAATTCTGCATAAGCAAATACAATGGACTCGGCTATTCTGTTAAGCGTTACAGCTCGTCAAGTACGCCAAAATTGGTAAGGGGGTCACGCAATTCTCCATCGCGAAAAATACGGAGAGAAAAAAGTAGAAAATAGCGCAGGAAAAGATTTATGTACAAAATTGAGCTCAATTGTTTCTTTCTGTGTTTATAACAGAAAATGAAAATGATTTTTGAGCTGAATTTAGTTGAGAAGATTTTTTAGAAAGGAGAGGAGGTGGATATTTTTTAAAAATTTGTCGAAATAAGATATTTAATATATTTATTTTCATTCATGAAGTATTTTTAACAATAATTTGGACGTTTTCTGCATTCTGATTTATATCTAGAATTAATATTTCCACAATAATTTACTTTAAAAAAAATTTTTGTCCACAAAAGCTCCACAACAATAGAAAATCCTTCATTTGGACAAGCTATAGGGCATTTAAACGAACTTGATTACTTATTGCGCATTCGTTTAATACAATTCAGAAAGTTATATCTAAAACCAAAATGCTATTAATTTCAATCTAAGCCTTATTGGAGGATAAATATTGACATATTTAAAGTGAAGTATTAATTTATGGTAGATCATTTCCCTATAGCCTGAGAAAGACAGCGCGAACGTAAATCAATACCTTTGAAAACTATTATTCAGTTTGATTTACTTGAAAGCATAGCACCAATTTTAAGTATAATTAATTTTAATAACCTTAGTTTTAAATGGATGATGAAATGGTCCAAATGCACAACACACGGATTGCATAGTTTAACGATATTTCCTTCATTTGAGCAATTCAAACAAATCGCAAAAGCCATGTCAGGAACGTTCGGGGTTATTTTGTTTTTTTGTAATTTCTGACAAAAAGTAAACATACCCATAAAAAAATCAGTCTTTTCATGAATTCATCTATACTGGATTATAAATACTTGACTATATTAATATTGAATTATAGCTTACTCGGTAAAAAAAAACTCTTTTAAATTTTCTTGAAACCTTAAAAAAATGGATTAACATAACGATTCGGTGCTAAATTTTTCACTTGAGATTAAAACTATTATTTGTAAGTGTATATCATTCCATAAAGTCATTTTTATTTAGAAAATAAGTAACATCAGTTGTGTAACGTTTGTAACCAATTCACATTTCCTCCAATGGCGTGTCCACACTCACTACACGAAGACAACTGTTTGCTTATTTTATTTTCAGAATTTCAACAACAGGTCATAATACGTTATAAGATATCGATTTTGATATTACCTTTTGATCTGTATAGTATCAATTAATCAGCTTTAGGAGGACATATGTTAATATATGTTAATAAAAGAGTGAAGCAAAAAGTTGAAAGTTACTTTTACACCTTAAAAACGATCTTTTACAAATTTCTACTAAAGTATTCACAGTGTGACTACGCAACTGCACATGAATGTGTACCTCAATGTTGCCAATCTACAATATCTCACAAAAGAAATTTGACCAATAAATTAAAAAGTAATTCAAGATGTTCACTCTAGCCCCATGTCCACAATAGCCACCTCTGATTTATATAGAAATTTGATTTTCATTTTTTGAATTATTATTACAGAAATAAATTAATAATTGAATTTTTTCTTAACCATAAAATATTTCTTTTTTTATGTATGTTTTTAGAGTTGAGATTTTCATTATTTTAAATAAGGATTAACTTTAACTTTTAGTAAAAAAAAGATTCAGAAATTCGAAAGCCCTAGGTCCTAAGGACCCATAGTTTCTCAAAGATACTAAGGAATGACTGTGTTGATAATAAAAAAAATTATTAGATACAAATTTTTTTTTCTCTTTAACTTTCATAAACGTTATTTAAGTCAGCAAACTGTTATAGTCGATTATTTAATATTTTTCCATTTAATTTAACAGAAATATGTACGAAAAAATATAGCATTTAAAGATTGACCCCTAGAAAAGTAAGCAAAACCATCTAACCCATGTGTTACTAAATATTTTCAGATAATTGTTTGTTAAGAAAGTTACATGTCTGCCCAATCGTAATGTTCAATTTCACGCACTATTCCATCAGAATTCATAAAGCACCTTCTAAAAGAGTCCTAACATATTTCCGAAGTGAAAATTGTAATTTTTATAGGATTTCAACAACGTCCCTTTTAAAAGTCTATAAAGCATCTAAAGTCATTGACAGCATGCATAAAGAGAAAGGAAGGTTGTCATTTATGGATGATGAACACGCATTTGGCCGGGATAGCCTGGATGACGGGCGTTGGACTCAAGTTCGTGAGAACGGGAATTCAAATCCAGCCAGCCGAAGACTCCTCGTGTAGTAAATGGTGACTGGTGCACGATAAATCTGTCTGATGACCAAGTCCTCCACGCTCCTATAATAAATTATAGCTCTGATGGTTCTGAATTGGAAATTGATTGTTCTCTGATTCAGGTCAAAATTGCGATCTGTGGATGAATTGAATAGATGTATGAATGGGTCCGCCCCATAAACGGTTGTGACATATAGGTGTGGCTGAATTCGAATTCTTGGCCATAGATGGCGCTACTGAAAAACAAGAAGAATCGCACCCTTTGCCTTAATGACCCACGACAATAACAAACACGCATTTACTTTAAACTACTTGAGAATGATTGCGCACACTCTAAGCTAATTAGACTAATTGACATCCTGACTATTGTTAAATCCTGTTGCTAAATTAAAAATGTAGTACTTGGATAAGTAAGGAATTAGAAAATTGAAAAAGTAAATTATCATTAAAATATTAAATATGTATATTTTAAAATTTTACTTTAACAAATTCCTTATAAGCCATGACAACTTATTGCATAAAAATTAAAAATAACATTTCCTGTTATGTTAAATATAAAACAAATATATCTACAATTTTTTTTTGCTTATTTAAATTCTTTAAGTTTATGAGTGAGATCTTAAATTTCGTTTTATGAAATACTACTATTTTAATATATTTATATGTCTCTTTTTTTCAACACATATGCCAGTTTGTTTAAGAATTTTTCAAAATCAGATTATTACTTTCTTGTTAAAGAATTTATTATTATCGAAACATTTTAACATTATACAAACTTTTTCTTCCAAAATTTTATTGAAAAAAATATAAAAAATAAGTCATGTGAATTGGGGGAAAATTTCATACAAATTAGCCAAAATAAAATAAGCAAAATCAGCGATCTGGGGAAATATTAAGCTCTAAGAATTTTCAGCACCCTAATTACAATTGCAGTTATAATCATACTTAGTTAGCATGTACTGAACTAAGTTTGCATGTAACAATTGTCCATGGTTACAGGTTATCATAATTAATGATTACAGTTTTAATCTCTATTGCCAGCATTCATAATTTACGATTAAAATTTTAATCATTATTACAACTATTATTAAACTACGATTGCAAGTAATAAATATCTATAATTACAATTATTCATTATTAAAAATTTCAATTTCAGTCGTTAATCATAATAATCGTTATTTACGGTTAAAACTTTAATCGTTATTGCAATTAATATTAAACTACGAGTTTTAAAAAAATTATAATTATGATTTCATCTTATCTAAATTACAATTGTAAATTTAGTTACAAGGAATAATGAAAAGTAATTAATTGACTGCATGGTTAATTATTCTTTGCCTAACTCTAATACATGAATATATCAAAGGATTAAGTTTGCTTGTAAGTAAGTGTAATTTTTACCCATGTACAGTGCTCAAAAAGAGGAAGAAAAAGAACATGGAACGCCCTGAAAAAATTCTAATGATCAAATTATTAAGTTTTCAGTATCAAATTATAAGACATTCGCTTATGATTGTCAAATTTGAAAAATTTGTGATAAAAAGTTCAATTTCTCAAGAGCTATTTGACCGATTTCTTTCAAACTTTGTTTTTTGTCTTTTAAAATTACATTCTTTAAAATAATGTAAACATTTGTGTACCTTAAAATTCAATATTTTTTCGACTTATCATTTAATAAAGTAATAAAAAGTAATGAATAATTATTAAAAAAATGATTTTCTGCTTGAAATTATCTTAGAAAAAAATGAATTTTATAATTGGGTACAAAAAATTTTTGATTCTCTTTCAAAGTTCTCGATATATTGCGTAATACACAAAAAGTAAAACTAGCATTAATGGGTTTAAACTTTCAACCCCTCAGCTGGCCAAACTTTTGAGGCCCTATTTTCCTGATTGTGGCTGACCATTTAGGATCAGGAATCCAAAGCCATAGAAAAAAAAGATACGTTTATTCAGAAAAGGTATATTTACTTATGATTTCTTAACTTAAAATTAAATCGTTTATTTCGGGTGATTATTGCTAGTATATTTATGATTTTATTAATTTGTTATTACTAATTAATTAGTACATTTAGGGGAAAGTCCTCTAACCATTGAGATTGAATCCTAGTACTTGAAAATCTGATCATTAGGTCAAAAGTTGTTCAGGGTGTTAAATTTTTTTTTTGCCCTCTGTATTTTCTTATTTTGTGACTGTACCTACTTTGTAATCTTTAAATCTATTCATTGGTTGTATTGTATCAATATATCTGTGTAATGTCAGGTACCTGATACTGGAGCATGTCTCGGGAGGTGAGCTATTCGATTATTTGGTGAAGAAGGGTCGATTGACGCCGAAGGAAGCTCGTAGGTTTTTTCGACAGATCATATCAGCTCTGGACTTTTGCCACAGCCATTCTATCTGGTAAACACCTTTTCCTTTCATCTAAAAAAAAAAAAAAAAAAAAAAAAAAAAAAAAAAAAAAAACAGAAATAAATTTTAAAAAAAATCTTTATGATTTTAAACTTTTTTTACATTTTTCTGTCCTTTAAAGATTTATATCATTTGTTTTCTAAACTTTTCCTTAAGAGAACGATATTTTCTTAATTCAAACATAATCTGAGAGTTATTTGGTTGCTTTACAGCTACTTTTAAGCGTCAGTCTTTTTCAGATTTTTTTTCATTCAATTACAGACCTTCAAGTATAATTATTGACCTTTTTCACAATACAATATGACCTTTTTCTACAATAATGTTTAAATATCAGTCCTTTTTATTAAAGATTTTGAGTAATTAACGGACAATCGAAAAGTGTTCATTCAATTATTTCCAATGCTCTACAGTTGTTTTTAAATATCAGTCCTTTTAAGTAATTTTTTTGAGAAATCAAGAGACCATTAAAACAATTTATTTACCGAACTGTTTCCGAAACTTAAATCATTTAAACCTACTTTACAAAAAAAAATGGATATGATTATTTAAATCAGTAAAAATTTTTAAATGAAGCAAATCTGACACACTTTTATGAAGAAAAATTTAAAAGAAAAAAATTATTATCAAACAACCATAAATTCACCATTACACCATCTTTTGTAAAATTGAATGATATTCTCAAAAGTTTCTATTTTTCAAAATATTTAAGAATACAAAGATAATCAATGTCACATCAGTGTTAAAAATAAATAAATAAATATAAGAATCGATTTTTTTTAAATTTATGTTTTATTTTAATAAGAGCAATATTATTTCAAGTTTAAATGTGTAAAAAACGGTTAAATATTTAGATTAAACATTTATTTAAAATACACTGACTGAGCAAAACTCATGGGATAGCAGGGCTCTGATTTGTGGATGGACAGCACGTGTGACCAACGCCACCTGGTGGCCTCCACGACGGTCTCAGTTGTGTGTTAGACATTGCTTGAAGTGGCTGTGTGAGTGATCAGGTAAAATGCAACGTCGTCGTGAGTTGACGTCATTCGAAAGCGGCATGGTTGTGGGTGGACGACGCATGGTACATTCCATTTCGGAAGTGGCTCAGGAATTCGGCTTCCCAAGGTCAACCGTGTCGAAAGCTTACCGAAAAGGGGTGAATGAGGGTGTCACAGTTCACAACAGACACCATACCGGGCGTCCACAGACCCTAAATGACCGAGACAGGCGAAACCTGAAATGAGTGGTAACTCGAGATAGAAGAGCAAATGTGCAACAAATCACGGCTGAAATCAACACTGGCCATGATAGAGACGTGTCCCACTGGACAATCCGTCGGAACATGCGTGTTCTCGGGTATGAGAGCCGTCGCCCCACGCGTGTGCCACTACTAACCAAGCGTGATCGGACAATTCGGTGTGCATTTGCCACCAATCACTACGGATGGACACTGCAACAGTGGCGTAACGTGATCTGGTCTGACGAATCACGTTATCAACTGTTCCATGCTGATGGGAGGCACCGTATGTGGCGCACACCGCACGAAGCGATGGATCCAGCATGTCAAGTGGGCACAGTCCAGGCCGGTGGCCTATCAGTCATGGTGAGGGGTGCATTTTTGTGGCATGGATAGGGCCCCCTGGTCGTTCTGGATGCCACATTGACTGGTCAGCGGTATCTTCAGCTGTTT